AACACTCACACCAGGCTCATGTGCTCAGAATCTCATGAGGAGAGTAGAGGAAAAGGCATTCTGACATAGCTGTTCCCCAGGGAGGTGATTTCTCACTTTCTGTCTCTGGCAAGCCCATGTACCGTATGGCAAAAATCTCTCTTGAAAAAAAAAAAAAAAGAATTCTGGTCTAAAGATTTGGTTAATGATGGTTAAAAGATTTGGATTTCATTTCACTTCCTGAGCCAAGTAAGTAGTTCTCTGCTTTTAGTAACTTCTGTGATCTCAGATTCATTTATATAGAAAATGCTCACATAATTATAAGGTCAGAGGAATGTTTTTCAGCTTTGACTGAGTTCCTTTAAGAAGTTTTAAATCAGGTAAGTTTTGTAAACTATGTTGAGATAGTTAGGAAAAAGATACTTTTCTTTTTAAGAAGAAATGTTCATTTCTTTAAGAGAAATGTTCATTTGTGACCAGCAGGTGGTGTAGTGGTTAAGGTACTAGACTCCCACATGGCTGACAGCAGTTCGCATCCTAGACCCGGCAGCTTGCTTTCTCACTTTCCCTCTTCTGTCTCTACCTGGTCAAAAGAAAGAAAAATGATGAATAAAATTAAATAAAGCAATTATTTTCTTAAAAAAGAATTATTCATTTAATTTTATTTGTTGTTACTCTTCATTTTGACCAGAGAGAGACAGAGCGTGCGCGTGAGCAAGCCATCAGGTCCAGGACTCAAACCACGGTCTGACATGTGGGAGTCCAGAGCCTCAACCACCATGCTACCTGCCAGCTCCAGATACAACGTTAATACTGGGTACCATTCGTGATCTGACTTTAAAGAGCATTTCTAGAGTGAGAGGACAGACATGATAGCAGAGGATGGTAGAGGTATGGAACTTGGTTGTGGCTGGGGAAGAACCAGAGATTTTAGCATCGTGTCTTTCTCTTTCTCTCTTCCTTCACTCTTTTTTGATTTTTAGAGTTTTGCCATCAGACACATGAGGTTCCCGGGAGGCGGTCCAGACAGGGAGAGAGGGAAAGTGAGAAATAACTCTGCGGTGGGGTTAGCCATGCTGCAGTCCCTTCTCCATTCTTCTCATGGAATTTTGGGCATGTTCCCACATGTACCTGGTATGTTTTTCAAGCTACCAGGTATGGGTCTTGAACTATGCACTTGCCATCTGGGAATCCATCACTTTTACCACCACGCCACCTGCCGGCCCATCCTTCACTCATTTTACCTAATGTGAGGCTGACATTTGCTGTAATTTTTTTCCCTCTCAGGAAGCACTTAAGTCATGATTTGTGGTCTCGCATCTTGGTGTTTTATACTTACTAAACATTCAGACATTCATCTTAACATTGTAACACATAAAAACTTAGAAAAAAATTTCTTATGTTAGAGAAAAATCTTGTGCAGCATCATTATTTAGTAAAATTTTCACTGTAAGGTTTCATCCTATTTTGTTACGTTCAATTCTAATGATGCGTCATTGCATTTTTAACATTGGTAAAGCCGGGGCATGCATTTTCTTTATGGAAAACCTTAGTTATCTTCTCTTTTGATAGAATGTTAGCATATCAAAGCATTCTTGGATTTAATGAAAACGCTACCACTCCTGTGTCATGGGTTTGCACCGAACTCCAGATGTGTGAGAAAAGAATGCTCCGCAGGATGGATTTACCAAGAAACCCACAGATGACATTACCTTTAATTCCTTGTATAGAGCCACAGTACTCTAACTTGTGTTTGTTCTTGTGCAGTGAAACCCTCTGTTGCAACTCAAATTTAAATCTAAGAAAGATCAGAGTTAATAGAAAACCAAATGGTAGGCAGTGGAGGCACTGGAGGAAATAGACAGAGCCATTACTTTGTACCTGCCTTTTCCTACCCAAATTGTGGTGCTGGGAAGTCAGGGAGCCATGCTGGGGGCTTTGTAACCCTTCGGTTAGTTAGATTGTTTTTCATCTGAGAACCTTTTCAAAGTTTTTCTTCCACTTCTGTATTTTTAAGAAATAAAAACATAATGTAAGAACATGGAGGGTTATGAAGCATGAAGTTCCATAAATATTTATGCCAGACCACAGAAGTAGACAATTCCTATTTTCTTGACATATTGGGGTCGTATTTCACTCTTGACCTCTTGGATTGAAAAGTATAGAGAGTGAGTATACCCTTTTCTTTCTGTTCTCTTTTCTTTGTATTTTCATTTCTTTAATGAGTTTTAGGTGCTGGGAGCTGTCCTGTTAGGTTCATGTAAATTCAGTGAACTTTATTTCCTGAATTTATTTGTACATTTCTAAAAGTTTATATTCTTATCAAAAGAAGCACAAAATTCTTATCAAAAGAAACACAATTTATACTCAATTTTAGCCCTCACTGATAAGCTGTTTAATCTATTCTTGTGGGTTTATTTTGCTAAACTAAAAATAAATGTTAAATTTGTCAAGGCTAATAAGTAAGGGTTATATCTAAGAGTGTATTTTAAATTAGTCCTTTCATTTTGTTTCCCTCACTTAAAATCTTTGGTCTGTAAAAGTATCTTGTCTTTTGAAATCATATTTTAAAAAAATGAAAGTAGAAAATAATACTACATGTTAATTGTGAGAATTTAGGAAATACAGAAAAGAAGCATCACCTATAATGGTCTGTTTCTTCCTAGGGTATGTAATTGAGCCATATCTAGGCAGTCTGTTTAGTATAATTTTAAAAACATCTAAACATTTGGTAAGGCATATTTTCTTTTAAATATTTCCTGCCCTTCTGGGTAGTTTAATTTGCTTTCTGCATAACAAAATACAAAAAAATATATAGGAAAATGTTTTCCTCCAGTTGATTAATAAGGTTGGTACATATTTTCTTGTTGCTTTTAAGATGCTCCTGGTTTAGTAGAAGATAATATATTTTAAAAGTATTTAATATATTTTAAGAATTATGTAGTGTTAAGTTAGTAAAATATTTCAGGTAAGCAGGTTTATTTGAGAATCAAAAAAATAAAGGGAATCTTTTGAGGTTAGAAGAAGGTATAATTACAGGAAAGGAAGAATTATAGAAATAAAGACCTCAAAGTATACCATAAATCTTTCGAGTTCAGGTCAAGTAAGAATAATATGTGTACACACACACATACACACACAGTTGTATAAATATATACATCTTTATTTTTCTTTTATTTTTTGAAGAATGATTTAACTTTATTTATTTATTTAAATTTGACCATAGAGGGACAGAGTGGTGGTGGGGGAGGAGTGAGAAAGTGAGCTTCCAGGTCTGGGACTTAAACTGCAGTCAGTCATATGGGAGTCTGGCGCCCTTAACCACCATGTCACCTGTTGGCCCCTACATCTTTATTTTTCAATAAAAAAATAAATAAATGAGGAAAATAGACCTGGGAAGGCAGACCCAGGAAATGTTTTTGAATTCACCCACCGAGCTGGGCTAAGCTAGGTGTGAAGATGTCAGCCGGACAGCTGGTCATTGCTGTGTGGAGGTGAGCCCTGTCTGAAAGGCCCACTGTAGATGTAGGGAGTGGTACCAGTGCTAAGGGGTGGCTCGGGCGAGGGAAGGTGGTCACAGATGGGTTGGCATGAGCTGTGGTCCCGACTCTGCCTTTCCCCATATCTCTGAGGTCTTCATGTATTATGCTGTTTCATTCCTAGATGGCCAGCCTCTGTTCTGTTGTTCCCACTCTCCCCCATCCAGTTTACCATTGAAATTAGGACTATTCCTTGACCCCGTAGCCACCTTTATGCGCCCCTCTCTCTTCTCGGCTACCTATTCATGGCTGCTACATTGAAACAGTCCTGGTGAACTGTGTTAACTCATACATGCCCTCCTGAAGACTGTTTTTTTTTTTTTTTTAATCTTATTTATTTCCATTTGTTGTTGTTTTTAAAATTTAACCAGAGAGAGACAGAGAGAAAAGGGAAAGTGAGAAAGCAATCTGACAGGTCTGGGACTCGAACTGTGGTCAGCCATGTGGGAATCTTGCTCCTTTAATGACCACTCCATCTGCCAGCCCCCTTCCTGGAGATTCTTGACACATTGCTCTGGAACTCTTCGCAATCGAGTTGGCTAATTAAACCTGTGGAAAACGTTACTTTTTGGAAAGTTGGCAGACGCTGTTTCATTGCCTCTACTTCTCTCTTCCCAACAGAACACTTGACTTGATCTGGGTAGCCTTTGTGTTTCTTAGCGTCCCTCAATGGGGTGGCCATGTTACACACTTCAGGGATGTCTGCTAGGGGACAGCTGAGGAAAGAGAATGATTTTCTTGCCTTGAGCCCAGTCTTGTTCTGGGGTGATGTTGGCGGATATAAGAGCCATCTTTAAAAAAAAAAAATTATTAGAGGTTTTGTGCAGTCACAGAGAAAGAGAAAGTGAGAAAGCACCCCTCTTGGGGGCTGGCCATGCCTCGATCCCTTTGCCTCCATTTCTCCTCTTGGTAATTTGGACACATGCACATGCACCTAGCAGCACACAGAGTCTACAACTCAAACCATTTGGCCATATAGGGATCCAGCTGCCTTAACCACCACTCACCCCCTGGCCTATAAGAGCCATCTTTCACTTGTGAGTCAGGAGGCTGAAGGATGGGCAACCATTATGTTGGGGTGGCAGGGCAGGAAGTTAGAAAATACCTGGGTTCTCATGAGGTTCTGCATTAAATATTGAACTGTCACCAACCCAGTTAAGTGACATAATTAAATGTCAGTTATAGTCAGTGTTCTGGTACTTGCATCCAAAAAAGCTGTTATTTTGGTAATGGATTCAGAACAGTATTTGGTGGCTCTTGGAATACACGGAAGACTAGAGAACGAAGCCTGGAGGAGGAGTAGGGAAGGGAGGCCATGGGTTCTAAGACTACAGGGTTAAAAAACAAATAAAAAATCTTTCTGATACCTCATACTGGGCCTATATATTACATATTTTGACTATAATTTTTGCTCATGAAAAAGATTTTAATTTTATAGTAGTAATTTCTTTGTTAAGATGTAATTAAATTGATATATTTCAGGTTGCCTGCCTAATTCGTGTTCCCTCTGAAGTGGTTAAGCAGAGGGCCCAGGTATCTGCTTCTTCAAGGACATTTCAGATTTTCTCTAACATCTTAGGTGAAGAGGTGAGATGTGTTTTTAAGCTCTCTGTCTTTTTCCCTTGTACTGAGAAGAATTTTATAGTAGCTCATGTGAACTGTGTGAGGTTCATTTCAGGAGGCTTACAGAAAGCATTAGTACTATATGTCATGACCAATTATAGTAGACTTTTCGCTAAGGTTACTTTTGCCTTTCCTAATGTTTTTGAATTTTGAATTTTTTTTTTTTCCTGTTCAAATTTCTAAGCAAATACAATCCGAGTACCACTCCTGAATGTGTGTCCTGAATTGTAACATTCCTGTGGTTCTTCTGGATAAGATATGGAACAGATCGTGGCTATGTAAAGTGAATAACAATGTCATATTAAAACGCTGCAGAATTTGAGGCCCATGACAGAGAAGTATGGCTGTGTGCTACATTATGGGGTTCAGTCAGCAGCAGCCCACGTGCAGTCCCATGGTCCTTTCAGATTGTACCACGTAGCCTCGGTATGCGGTAGGCTACACCGTCATCTAGGTGTGTGCATCTAGGTGTGTCATCTAGGTGAGCTTCGCACCATGGTGAAACCGCCTAGTGAGTGTTCAAGAAAGGAGTCCTGACTAATAGCAGCTAAAACTAAGTTGTTACTTGTGCCTTCGGCCAGTTGAGAGCCTTTAACCTTGTATAGCACTGTAATAATTGTCAGTATTTTAGAACTCAAACTTCAGAGCAGGAAATCCACTTTATTCAGGCTGTCATTCACAAAGGTTCTTTACTGTCCTAACTTTTGGAACTTGGCTTTTGTTTGTTTCAGGGCATCCAAGGATTGTATCGAGGCTACAAAAGCACAGTTCTAAGAGAGGTAACTTACTCCATTTCCAGTACCGAAGTTTGGGATGGTGTGTGTGCTCTGTTCAGTCCATTTTTACCTCTTAACAGTCAGAAATGTATATGGAGAAACTGACTTAAAAGTGAAAAAAAGGAAAGTATCTGGTTCTTAAACCTAAAAGCTTGAGAACAGTGGGGTTGCTGGAAGAGTAACCCTCATGGTCAGAATGGCCCATCGTTTTGCTTCAGTGTTGTTCTGGGATGGCTGGGTGTCTAATAGCCGAAATATTAAGAGTGAATAAAACAATCAGGTCATCGGGAAAGTCATGATGTGTTTTTCTATGGTTTTCCATGTAACAGTGTGTCATGCCTTTCCCAATGACCTAATAATAAGGATAAGAGATCAAATAAATTGCTGGCATAGGGAGAATCAAGGAAAAACTGGTGATGAAAGATTCACTGTAAGAGACAAGTGTTTCATGGGACCAGCAGTTAGCGTAATGGATATGTCGCTGGACTCCTATGTAGTCGATTGCGGTTCGTGTCCCGGACCTGATGGCTTAAAACTCACACCAGGTGCGTGTGTGCCCAAGATCCTGACAGGAGAATGGAGGAGAAGGGATTGCGACATGGCCATCCCCCCTGGGGGGTGATTTCTCACTTTCTGTCTGTCTCCCTCTGTTTTTCTGGCGGGCGCCCGTGCCCTATACCAAAAAAAAAAAAAAAAAGAGACAAGTGTTTTAGAAGTCTCTGTGGGGTGGGTAACTCTGGGCTGCCTGATGACACAGTGCCATGAACTGGGACGGTCTGTCTGATTGGAGGTCTGGTACTGCAGGGGCCTTGCAGTGCCTGTGCCCTGGGGCATCACTTCACCTCTCTGTGCCTCCTAACTAAAATTCTGTGATTCAGTATGTGGGACATTTTCTTTCTCTTTGTGTGTGTGTGTGTGTGTGTGTGTGTGTGAGAGAGAGAGAGAGAGAGAGAGAGAGAGAGAACATGATGTCACATTCAATAAAGGATTTCGGGATATTACTGAAGGTCGCATGTTTTAGTCTCTGCCTTATATAGGAGAGATTATTTTGAAGTTCAGAAGTTGACTTTTACATAGGTAGAACACAAGAGAAGTCTCTGGTTTGGGACATAATTTTCCGTTAAAGAAAAGAGAAACTGCATAGGTCCCTCTGCATCCATGTTTTCTGTTTGGAGTTCCTTAGATAAAAACATTGTCCTGTGTAAAAAATGTTTTTAATTTAAATAAATATTGCTATGATTGGCAGAATATTACATTCTTTAAAATTTCTCATTTTATTTGCAGGTAGTTTATTCTTTTTGTTCTGTTTTTAACTATAGATTCCAGACTTTTTCTTACAACACTCTAACCAACACTGTTACATATGATTTAAAGGTTTGAGTTGCACAATGTAATAACCTGTAATGTAGCTTAGTTGGTGTTGATCTTTGAAGCCCTTCTTTTGGTGACAAACTGAATGTTTCAAAACAAATACCTTGTATGAAGATGACTTCTTCCTTTCACCCACACGGTATCATCTTTCTGCACTTATTTTCTAAGTAAATGTGTTATTTACTCAGATTCCACCTGGGTGGGGGGAAAAGGGGTAGGCAGTAAACCTTTTCCTATTTTTCTGAGAGGTGCTAAGTAATGAATATGCTTACATGCCAGAGAATACTGGCTTCGCATACAAATGGATAAAACACAAGGTTACAACAGCATTCTGTTCTTTTAAAAATATGTTTTGACATATGTCATGCTAGTAATTAATTTCTAGGTTGCAATCTTTGCAGATAGTGTGCCCTTACTGAAATGATTTTGTTTACTCACAGTGACAGTGCTTCGTTGGAAATTTAATTGAGGTCCTCTGTATTATGCACATTCATAAAAGATCCTTCAGAGTTGATTTTAGTTGAAGTATTGCTTTTGTACAGATTCTCTGATGGAATGAGAGAAGAATTATTGCTGAATGAAACATAGCTTCTTCACAAAATGAGAAAAATAAGTGATATATCTACTTTAAGCCAAATTTTTGCATTATAAATAGTTTTGATTCTTAGATTATTCTGATACAAATATCAAATCTTTTTGCCAAGAGCTTCTTCGATTGTTTTAATAAGAAAAAACATCAAAGCCTTAGTGAAAACACTGGGAAACTCATACGTTTATTCTGTGTGCAGTTTTTTTCTTTGAAATAGTTTTATCTCCCTAGCAATAGCCCATTAGAATGAGATTGAAGTTTGAATCCATGCATTATAGGGTAGATTATGTGTGTTCTTCAGATCTGCCAAATGCTGTCACTTTTTTTTTTTTTTTTTTAACTTTATTTGATGTTTGTGGAGATTGCATGCTTACCCTTAATATTCTCTTAAGTTACTTTAGTTACTGGGGATTTCAGATGGAGTCTAAGCAAGGTCAACAGATTACACTATTTACCTCTCCCTTTCAGTATTCATTTTTCTCATGATCTTGGACAAATTAGATGTGGTCAAACATCCGATATGGTACTGCTATGCAATCAGATGGAAATGAGGAGCAAACTCATAGCTATTTTCATAACCAGGATAGTTTTGGACAGTCCATTAGCCTGAAAATTCTGTGGAGAGCAGCCTTCTGATCTTGGATGCAAATTAGGACTTTTTAGAGAAGGAAAGCAAATATGAGTTGTTTCAAAGGAAGAAAGAATAAATTAATGTCAGGAGATTTCTTTTATTCACAAATTGTACTCAGCAGTCATTTTTGGAAGGCCTGTCTGTTGGACATTATGTTAAAACATTTCTGCCTTGAAGGATTCCTGTTGTGATAGGGGAAGGTGGGAAGTAGACGGTGTATAGTGCAGTGTTGTCATGCTGTATATGTGGAAGACATAGCTGGGATTATAGCAGCAGTGCTTGAGTGGTACTCAGTGTTGGGGAGTCAGATAGACGGATAACAGCATGAGCAAAGGCTCTTCAGAATGAAAGAACACGTGAATACCTTAGTTATCTGAGCCCATATGAGAGAGTGATTTTCTGCTACCTCAAGCCAGTTGAGGACACTTCCAAAGAGCACTCACAAAGCAGGGTATTTGCCAGGCAGAGAGGTTGAGCTCTCACTCCACTGGATTTTACCAGGGCACTGGACTGGAGCATAAGGGAAAGATCCTTGAAAGAGCCTGGCTGGTGTCCCCTGGAGTTTGGAGGATAAATTACTAGTGTCTGACTTCTGTCTGCCCAAGTTGGAAGGTGAGAAGCTGGTTGAAGCTGTTCCGGTGGCAGGATGTGGCCATCTTAGTAATGAGTAACTCCTGGCTGCTTTTTGGTAGACAAGAGTAGCCACTAGAAAGATTGAAGGTGGGTGAGGACTACCTTCCGACACATACTCCAGTCTTGCTTCCAGCAATCAAGACGGTGAACAAATTATTTGACCTGTTCTAGAAGGTCGGTAAGCACTCCCCCCACCCCCCCAAGTTTTTAGGTGCTAAAATCATGACTCTGATCAAAAAGGTTACTCAAAAGTAGATATTGTAGTTTTCCAAACTTGTTTACCCTTATTATCTACTTCAGGCAGTGAGAATTTCCTCAAATCCAGTTACTGAACATAGGAAACTTTCGGGATTGAGTTCTAAGATGATCTTTCAAGGTCTTTCTACCTCGGTTGTCTTTCCACTCAATGCCTTTCCCTCAAAACTCTTCATGTTATGAAAATCTCTCATTTGGTTTTCTAGAGATACTCTATCCTAAGTGTTCTGTATCTTGTAGTGTTTAGTTTTTTGGTTTGTTTCTTTCATGAGCGAGTGTAACAGAGCGACAGTACCCCAACACAGTCTTCACACTGTGATCCACGCCCCAGCTTCAGCCCACCCTAGGCCGTGGGCGTGAGTGTGGCTGGCATACTCAGGGAGATCTGTGGACTCAAATCTGAAACCTTCCCATGTGGTTAGTCTCTCCCCATGTCATGTTTTACAGCTGCTCCACTGTCTCGCCTCTGTTGTGTGTGTGTTTTATTTATTTCTTCTGTGAAAGAGACGAAGGGAAGGGAGAGGTAGGCATCCCAACGGAGGCTTCCCATTGCAGTTCACCCTCAGCAAGCCCTGGGTCATGAACACATACATGGCTGGCTTGTCAAGGAGACTGTCCCGTGTGGCCTCAGCATTGTGAAATGTCATGTTACCACTGCTCCACCACAGATGGTCTGTTGTTTATCCAGTACATTTTGGGAGTCATTTTATATCACTTCATAAAGAACGCTTTTTTTTTGTGATTTGCATAAGTACTCCATCATAAAAACCATCGTTTATTGAATCAGTTTCCTACTGGGGAGATTACAAATGTGTCACAACAAATATTTCTCATATGTCATTTTCTGTATGGTTGAGAATATTTGTAGGTTACATGCCAAGTAGTAGAATTACTTGGTTGAAGAAGATATGGGCATTTGCGGTTTTGATAATTGCCCTTCATGGAAATATCAGTTCACACTTTTACAAACAGTAGGAACAGTTTTCCCTTACCTTGTCAATGGTACCATCAATTAGAGATGAAAACTGATGCTGTTGTAGTTTTAATTTTAGCTAATAAGTAAGACTGGGCATGTAAACATGTATCTAAGAACTCCTTTCTTTTACTGTGAACTGATCATTTGAATCCTAAAACTTTAAATGAGGGGAATTAAATGGGGAGGGGGGCATATGAAATGGTTTCTACAGTGCCTGTCAAATGTTAGGTCATTGGGTATGCAAAAATGCATCATGACTTTCCCGACGAGCCAATAGTATATACTCAAGAAGTTTTAACTGTGATTATTTGTGTTCCTGGTAACTGAGAAAGCCTTCGACAGTAAAGGACACTCAAGTGAATCAGTATCCTTTACTGTCAAAGTGAAATGCAGCTCTATCCCTTGCCAGCTGTCTGCTCTTGGCAAATTATTTAACCTTTCCGTGCCCAGGTTTGCCAATTTGTGCTAGGGAGTTTGCATATTCTACTGTCACTGAAATCTTACAGCACTCCGGCATGGCAGGTGTTAGGGGAGTACAGCTGCTAGGC